ACAGAGCCTTGACTCACGTGGGAGAAGACAAATGGGTGCCCTATGTGGAGTGGATTGGAAGGAAGCCGAAGGTGGATATGCTTCGGGTGTTCGGGTGCATGTGCATGGCACTTGTGCCTAAGAAACTTCGGCACAACAAGCTGGATGCAAATGCAACATGGGCTGTGCACCTGGGCATGGCTCAAAACAGCAAGGGATGGCTTCTTTGGGACCCATTTACCAAGCAGTTCTTGGTGAGCAGAGATTGCAAGTTCATGGAGAACTTACCGTACAAGGAGTGGAAGGCGGAGAACCAAGCAAAGATTGGTGTGCGGCTTGGAGAGGTGAAGAGTACCGGCTTGGAGCATGTGGAGCTGCCCTTGGAGCTGAGTAGCAGCAGCACTATCACAAGGCAATCTCCTCAAATGAATGGGGGAGAAGAGGAGGAGGAGGTGCAGCAAGGTGATGAGCATGCACCGTCACTTCCGCCTCGTGCTACAAGTGCTCGCGGGAACCGACCAGATTTGCAGCAACGCCATGAGAGCATCCAAGTCCCTGCAGCAGAGGAGGAAGGAAGGGGGAGAAGGAAGACTCAGCCCCCCAAAAGGTTGAGCTATGAATGGCTTGGAGGACCAGCCAACTCAACCTTGACCAGTTCGGCCCTCATGCTAGGCGATGATGCGGAAGATGAAAGCGAGGAGTGCGCCTTTGCCTTCTTCTCTCCGGTGGAGATACCGGGGGAGCCTACAAGTCTCAAGGAGGCTTGGGAGGGCCCCAATGGGAAGGAGTGGAAGAAGGCCTCAGATGAAGAGATGGGGAGCATCATCGAGAACGACACGTTTGACTTGGGGAACCTACCTCCGGGGCGGAAGGCGATCTCTTCCAAGTGGCTCTTCAAGCGCAAGACCGACGCCGACGGCAACATTGAGCTCTACAAGAGCAGACTTGTAGCCAAGGGGTATCAGCAGCGAGAGAAGAAGGAATACAATGAAGTGTATGCCCCTGTGGTGAAGGGTACAACCCTTCAAACCCTCTTCGCCGCGGCGGCCATCAAGGGATGGGTGGTGAAGCAAATGGATATAGTAACGGCCTTCCTCAACGGCGTTTTGGAGGAAGAGACCTTCATGGAGCAGCCAGAGGGGTACAATGATGGGAGTGGCAGAGTGTGGAAGCTGAAAAAAGCACTTTATGGCCTCAAGCAAGCCCCTAGGCAATGGTACATCAAGCTGCGGGAAGTCTTGGAGGCGATCGGCTTCACTCTCTCAACGGCCGATCAATCGTTGTTCATGCTTGGCGAGGGGGAGCAGAGGAGCTTCATGGTGGTTTATGTGGATGACATCCTCATATTCTCACCCTCCTCTGACCTTGTGAAGGAGGTGATGCTGAAGCTTCAAGACAAGTTCAAGTGCAAGACCCTTGGTGACGTCAACTACTACCTTGGGCTTCACATTGAGCGAGATGTGGATAAGCGGTGGATGCGAGTGCATCAAAAGAAGTACTTGGAGGCCTTGGCTGCAAACTTTGGGAAGAGCGAAGGTCATGTGGCTACTCCTCGTCCCTCAGGGTTCAAGTGTGTGAAAGGACCAGTGGAGGAAAGTGTTGGTGAAGAGGAGAGGCGGCATTTTCACTCCTTGGTGGGCAGCCTCATGTATGCGGCCGTTCGTACAAGGCCGGATGCAGCCTTTGCTACCGGGCAGCTGGCTAGGTTGTCCAATGCCCTAATGAAGAGCAGGTAGTAGCTGGAGAGAGGGTGGCCAAGTACCTTGGCCAAACAGCAACTGTTGGACTGCAATACTCCGCGGCGGCACAAAGGCGTCAAAAGGGTGCGGATGGAGTCGAACCCGGGAGGCTCTTTCTCACCGCCTTCTCTGATGCATCTTGGGCATCAGAACCAGAGGACATGACAAGTGTGGGAGGCTTCATCTGCTGTGTTGGTGGAGGACCAACAGCTTGGGAGAGCAAGAAACAAGTGGACCAAGCATTGAGCTCGGTGGAGTCCGAGTACATGGCACTCTTCCGTGCCATAAGAGAGGTTGTGTGGCAGCGGCATTTGCTATCTGAATTGGGGGAGGAGCAGCAAGGACCTACCCCACTCTAATGTGATAGCCAAGGTGCTATTGCATTGGCAAAGAACCCCGTTCTTCATGGTCTTACCAAGCACATGAAGGTGAAGTGGAATCGGGTGAGGAGCATGGTAACTGCGGGTGAAGTGGAGTTGCACTACGTGAAGACGACGGCGCAGCCAGCTGATATGATGACTAAGAGGCTCGTTGAGCAGCAGCATTGGAATTGTTGCAAGCTTGCTAGGATGGCTCTGAACTAAGGGGAGCAGATTCTAAGGCCAACAATCCGAGGGGGAGTTTGTTGGTGCAACCCTATGGCTTGCACTCGGCTTGTCGTCCTTGCTTGTGTGTGTGCATGCATGGCATGGAATGAACTGTGAGTCTAAGTCATTGCTATCTAATGCTCGTGTGTGTGTTTGAATGGTGTATGACAGTGTTGGTTGTGTCGGTCAAGGCATTAGCGAGTTTTTACAACTCGCATGTCAAGTCGTCGTTTGTGTGTCGCATGTGTTTTTTCTATTTTGTCGGGTGTGAAGTGTCCATCGCGTTGCAGGTGTGTGCAGCAAGCCCCCATAAACTCAAGAAGAATTTATCTTGCAGATCCAAGACCAAGAGCTCAAGATTTCAAGCCCAAGGGACGCGGATAAATATTAAATAATGAAAATAGTAACGCTACTTCGTATAGTGTTACATTTTGCTTGGTGTAGCCCCTTGGCGGGTTGCTTTCAAGACCCTTCGTGGTTGGGGTCTCTGTGGTGGTGTACCACCAACCTGGACCTCGGCTCCTGGGGTATGTAGAGGCTGGGAACCATCTCCCTCTCGATTTCTTCTTGCTAAGTTTGTACTTCCAAGACTATAGTGGCTGCTATACCTCCTGCCAGTCAAACTGTCATAGCGTCGTGAAATCTTCATGGAATTTCATGATTCAACTTGCTGCTGATAGGCAACAGCAACGCGCTCCAGATCCAACTTAAAGATCACCGTTTGAGTTGGCCAGGAGATCGTTATCAATATTTGAAGCCGTCTGACGGAAATCCGACTGTGCTCTCTATCTCTCATTATAGGCACACCTGAGCCTATTGTGACTAGAACACACATTTCCATGTGTCTTCCTCAGCTTCCCCCTTGATGCGTCTAACTGGCACTTCTACCACCCGCCGTCTTACCGGTTCTTTCACTCCCGTGTCGTCACCTTTGACGAGTCCGTCTCCTTCTTCCGCCGCTTCCCCCACCGAGGTCCCCTGGTTAACCCCCTCCTGTTCCTGGTCACCCCTTCCCCGGTCGTCGCCGCCCCTCCTCCTCCCCCTCCCCGTCCTGCCCCCTCTGGTGTGTCCCACGTCACCTCACTTACGTCGGTTGTCCCGGTTGAGGAGTCTGCTGATTAGATTCACGATCTTCAAGAGTTACTTCAAGAGGCGAAAATCACAACGATATGTAACTTCAAGTTACTCTGCGACAATCAGAGCGCAATCAAGATTGCAAACAAGCCCGGCTTCGTCAACAGGACAAAACACGTCGCCCTCCGTTACTTCTTCATCAAGGATGAAATCGAGAAAGGGAAGGTCATCATGAAATACTGCCCTACAGAAGAAACGACAGCTGATTTTTTTACGAAGAAACTCCCACGCGGCAATTTTCAGTAGTGCTCCAACCTGGTTGGAATCTGCAAATGCGACGACACTTACCTAGAGACATACATTCAGGAATAAAGGGGAGTGTTGAAGTATACTCGACAGAGTTTACTTATGCATTCCATATATAACACTTAGACTATACAAGTAGCGCGATACCTCTAATGGAAGGACGCGCGTGATGACGTCAGTAGTAGCGACTCAACGCGTGAACAGTAGGTTCGCGCGTATAGTCACTCGAAGGGTCACGCCACTCTCAATCACACGAACAGTCACTAGTCATGTCACGCAAATATTCGCGTTACACTATGAACATGTACATTCCAAATAGGTACTTCCTAGACTATAAATATGCCGGTAGTACTCATTATTATAATCCTTATCATTTGAGACATTTCCAATACAAGGTGTAAAGTCTTCCGCTGACTTTTACTCGTGGTTCCACCAACTCTAGATCCTGGCCACCCTAAACATGTGGTTCACTTCTACAGAAACAGCGTCGCCACTCCTCAGGCCCACACTTGGAGCAGGGTTCCTGATAACAGACGAAATCTGTTTGTTAATCCGAGAATCAGACTCACTTTTCCGGTGTCATCTGTTTTTTTTCATAGCCCATTATTTTTTATCTGAACGACCAGCTTGGTTATATAAATCCGTTTGAATTCTCACACTTGGTGTAGGCAGTCGTCTGAATTTCCAGATAGCACGTATATTTCCGTCTGAGAGCGCGTTCCTATGGGGCTCTGATTAGATTCACGATTTGAGCTGGAAGGCGAAGTGGGTGCTAAAATGTTTTCGTAGAAAAGGAGTCTCATTGGTCGCGAAGTCTGGGCACAAGCACAGGAAGCCATTCTCCTGTGTAGCCAATCAAAATCGCTCTGAACTGGCGAGAATGTTGCTGGCAAAGTTAATCGCAACACAGAGTTGAGAAATATCTTGTCGATCAACGATCACGATCTCGACTGTTCACCCATTCTCCTCCCACTCTGGTGGGCAGTACACTGCGCCCACCTCGTAACCTCCCTACCCCCCCCACCCCACCCCCCCACCCTCCCCCCCCACTCGTTTTACAAATTTGGTGTAGTCCATGCCCTTGTGGCCATTCGGCCACGTGTGTCATCGGGCCTCAAACCTGCCACCTGCGGAATATTGTTGCCGCGTGGTGTGTCATCACCCCAGACTGTACTGTAGTTTATCGTTAAGTTTCTTTTTTCCGTCTGGAAGCTCAGATGATGCTGGACAATTCGTATGAAAATCCAGACCAGCCCAGGTAGCTCGTCTGATAGTTAGACGAAATTTTGAAACCCCGTCTGATTCTCAGACAGCCCTAAAACTTAGCCGGAATCCTGACTTGGAGGGCTGCTCGCAGGAGGCCCACCGCGTGAGGCGCCCAGCGGCCAGCCCTTGGTTCGTGGCGCTCCGACCGCGATGGCTCCTGCTACGGCAGCTGCAGCCTCAGCCTCTTCGGATCTTCGGCACTAAAAGCTCGCGATTCTCGTCAGGCTCTCCGGCTGTGTTGAATCGTGACGCCGCATTTCGCCTCCCTTGGGGCACCTCCCGCGAGTCGTGTCGCAATTCGTCGACATCGCTGTCGCCCTCCCTCAGGAACGATTGTAACCTGGTAACAACCTTTTCGCAGCGGATCACATTGAGTTCGTGCTGAGCGTCCAGCAGCGAGAGGCGGCCTTCGAGCGCGAGTAGATCGAGATCCATGCTGCCGCGCACGCGGCGAAATGAAGGGACCTGCTCCTTGTGACACGTGGCAAGAACAGCCTGCGATTGCCGGGTGGAAAGGTCAAGGTGCGACTCGGTCATTAGCTCCCTTGCCGCCATTTTCGACTCGAATTCAACAACTTGTTAAAGACAGAATGATACTATATGTACTGAATGTGACTGAGTGTGTTCGTAGGCCCAGAAAAATCTCCCGGAAGCTCGAACGACGCGTGAATGCTAATCGAACTGCGAGACAATTTTGGAAGGTTCCAAGTCGCGTATAGAAGGTTCCGCAACAACGTTTTTTTTGTCAGCCCGCAAAAACGTGCCAGACCAACCTCGAGCTGTCCAAACCTGGAAGATTAGCGTTGCCTGCAGAACGCACCCACGTCAACGCAGAGGTTGAGTTCACGAAGGTCTGGGGGCAGATTCGCCCTTAGGCAACTGTGCACTCTGCCGCACCTCCAAGTGGACTCCGCCAAAACGCAGGGGAACGCGGTGGATTTGGGGTACTAGGGTGAACCACAACCCCACCCTGCAAAATACCTACAGCTGGACAACACCTCCCACAAAACCAAGCTACGCATGCCCAGAAAGAAAACAAACCTCTCAGCTCCTCAAAGCACCAAGCACTCCTTGCACAAACGTTTACCCTTTTTGTTTTTGAATGGCATGGGGCACTTGTTCGTCCAGCGTTTTTGTTTCTGTTGTTGCCCTTGTCGAAATCACTTTCGCGCTTTCCCCGATTTTCCTGCGCAGCTTCACCGTGTGGTTTGGGAAGGCCCAAAGTGGACTGGGTGGTTACCACTACATGCGAAATGACATTGGCTACTTCCTGAACTCCACCTCCGCCGCCTACTCCACTGCCTGCAGAACCGTGCCGCTGACATGCAGATTGAAGGTCGTCATTTATCGCCTTGGCTCCACCGCTCCAACCAGCTGCTTGATCTTGCAAAGTTCGATAGACACGACGGTTCGAGACTCCATAACTTGAGCATTCCAAAATGCTTGGAGCACACACGTTGCACCTCATTTGCCCTCTCACGGGTCCTACTTCAACCGTCATCGCCGCCGACCGAGGACCGAGGATCTCAGGTCGCACGATCATTGTGCGCCAGTTCGACTCCGAGTGGGGATTCTAGAAGGTCAGGCGGACCTTCTGCTCACGACAGGCAGGGCGACCCGCCGACGCGAATGGAAAGGTGGAATCTGATACGAGCCGAGAAAACAGCCGATTCGAGCTTCAGGCCTCCGATTCCACCTGCCCCGTCAACGTCACCTCATCGTCAACTTTCTCGTTGTGAACCGTCGTGTTCCGATGGGCAAAAATTCCTACCACAAGGGCAACGAACATTAACCGGTTCTTTCGCTGAAGGGCCGGCGGAACTTGGTTGGGAGAAGCGTCTCTTAAGACCCTCGCCGTATCTCCCCCACGTCATCTAAAAAATGTGAAACCACCCGTGCCACTTTGTGTTCACTAAGTCCGAGTCGATGAGGTTGCGATGAAGTCACAGTGACTCCCACACCCGTACCATATCTCCCTTGTCCGTCCCCTCCCTCGCCCTACCGAACCTTTCGTTGACCCATTTCGACCTCGTCAGATGAGGCTGGAGTGGAGCAGAGGACGTGCAGGGTTGGGGAGTCAGAACGGAATCGCATTGCGTGCATTATGATGCAGGGCAGGAGGGTGGGTATGAGAGGGGGAGGAACAGATCAGGATTAGAGATCTCGTTTAAAACGTCGCTTTGCTAGTTTCACGAGAATCAATCGTAGCCCCAGAAATATCTATTTGAGACTAAGCAAGAGGCAATTACACGTAATTTGCAATCTGTCGTACCTGGCATCTCTGCAAAAATCTTGTCCAGTTATGATCGTACCACGTGGATCCTCTCCCCGGTGCGCTTCCCACTCCTTCCTTGAGGCAGCTCCACTCTCGCCCACTGGCGCTTAGACCTTGCTTACCTACCTACCTTCCTAAGGAGCCTTCTAGACGCTACTGTTCACGTTACTGTTTCATAAGCTGTTATTAGTGTTTGTATCGGAAGTGTAACGGGAGGGTATTGGCAATGGCTACGAGCGAGTGTGACGGAAGCGGCGTCGAACACGACCTTGCGGTGTCGAGCAATTTTTCGCCACCCCCTCGATCTCGCCACCGCGCCTCGGCATCCCTCGCGTCACTTTACTGTTTCATAGGATGTTATAAGTGTTTGTATCGGAGGTGTAACGGGAAGGTATCGGCAACGGCTAGGAGCGGGTGAGACGGAAGCGGCGGCGAACACGACCCTGCGGTGTCGAGCAATTTTTTCGCCACCCCCGTCGATCTTGCCATCCCACCCCGGCAAAGTCCCCCGTCACTCTCGCTCGCCTCCCACTCCGCTCTCTCTCTCCCTCCTAGACTGCCGTGTCGCGCGCTTCTCAGCTTTCTAGTTTCTAAAGCTTAGAACCATGCCACGCCACCTAACCCTAAAATAGTCCCTCTGCACGGTATCGTTTTTCACGATGCCCTTTCCTCCCCCGCTAAGGGCTCGACATTAGGTAAGCACCCACGTAATTTCCCCCCCTCTTACCTAGTGTACCCTTCCTGTATTTCCTGCGCGAAACTAGGTGAGAACCACGGCTCAGCCTGTCACCGCGGTTACCTTTTCTTAGCCCGCCGTTCATCTCCTTCCCTGCCAGCCGTTTTCCATCCGTTCCTGCCCGGCGTTTCCCCCGTCCCTGTTCGCGCGTCACCCCTCTCTCCCAGCACGCGTCACTCCCTTCCCTGCTCGCCGTCTGTCCCTTCCCTGCTCGCCGTCTGTCCCTTCCCTGCTCGCCGTCTGTCCCTTCCCTGCTCGCCGTCTGTCCCTTCCCTGCTCGCCGTCTGTCCCTTCCCTGCTCGCCGTCTGTCCCTTCCCTGCTCGCCGTCTGTCCCTTCCCTGCTCGCCGTCTTTCCCTTCCCTGCTCGCCGTCCGTCCCTTCCCCGCTCGCTGTCCGTCCCTTCCCTGCTCGCCGCCCGTCCCTTCCCTGCTCGCCGTCCATCCCGTCCCTGCAGGCCGTCCATCCCTTCCCTGCTCGCCGTCCAACCCTTCCCTGCTCGCCGTCCCTCCCTTCCCTGCTCGCCGTCCCTCCCTTCCTTGCTCGCCGCCTCTCCCTTCCCACCTCGCCGTCCCTCTTCATTTCCTGCCTGCCCTCCCTGTTTTCCCAGCACGTTGTCCCCCATCCCCCTGTTTGACGTCCCCTCCGACCCTGCTCGCCGTCCCCCCCCCATTTTCCCTGCTCAACGTCCCCTCCGCCCCTGCTCGCCATTTCCCCCTGCTCGCCATTTCCCCCCTGTCTAGCTTGCCACTTTCCCCTTTCCCCAGCTCGCAACTAACCCCTCTCCCCAGCACGCCACCTTGCCCTCTGTCCAACTCACCGCTTCCCCCTCCCTTGCCGCTGCTCCCCCCCCCCCTTGGCCGCTGTTTTTCCCCCTCCTTGCCGCGGCTTTTACCCCCCTTTGCCCGCGGCTTTCCCCCCCGGCTGCTGTTTTTCCCCACGTTGCCCCCTGCTTTTCCACCCTCGCCCGCTCCTTCTCCCCCCTTTTGCCCGCGGCTTTTCCTCCCATCGCCCGCCGCTTTCCCCCCTTGCCGCTGCTTTCCCCCCTCGCCGCTTTCCCCCCTTGCCGCTGCTTTCTCCCCTCGCCTTGCCTTTTGCTTTGCTGTGTTCCCCCCCCCCTTGCCGCCGTTCCCCCCCCCCCTGCCGCTGCTTTTCCCCCCCTTGCCGCTACTTTCCCCCCCTTGCCGCTACCTTTCACCCCCTAGCCGCTGCTCTTCCCCGCCCCCCTGCCCTCTGCTCCCCCGCTTCCCTGCCCGCTGCTCCCCCGCTCCCCTGCCCGCTGCTCCCCCGTTTCCCTGCCTGCTGTTCCCCCGTTATCTGCCCGTCGTCCCCCACTCCCCTGCCCGCTGTTCTTCCCAATCGCCCACCCGCTGTCCCAGACCTCCCCGCCCGCCGTACTTTCCTTCCCAGCTCGCCGTCCCCCCTACCTTCCTGCCTGTTCAACAGCACTTCTTGTCCGGGCTTCCCCTACTCCCTCCCTGGTCCCCCCTCCTTCCCCGCCATGCTTCCCCCTACACTCCCTCCAGTTTCCCCCTAGTATCTCCCTGTCTCCCCCACCCCTCACCCCCGTTCTCTACTATCTCCCCCACTGTTCCCCGGTTGCCTGCCCCCTGTTTCCCCCATCCCACCCCCCGTGCCCACCACCTTTCCCCCCCCTGGCCCACTGCTGTTCCCCTCCTTGCCCACTGCTCGTCCCCCCTTGCCCACTCATTTTCTCTCCTTGCCCACTGCTTGTCCCTACGCGCCCCGTGATTTTCCCCCCTTGCCCACTCATCTTCCCCACGTGCCCACTGCCTCCCCCCCTGGCCCACTGCTGCTCCCCCCCTTGCCTTCTATTTTTCTCCTAGCTGCCCACTGCTACTTTTCCCCCCTGCCTTCCCCCACCTGCCCCCTGCTGTTCCCCCCCTTGCTGCTGCCCTTTCCCCCTTGCTGCTGCCCTTTCCCCCCTTCGTCCGCTGTTTTTCCCCCTCTTTCGCGGCTGTTTGTCCCCCCTTCGCCCGCCACTTTTCCCCACCCTGCCCGCTTCATTTCCCCCGCCCCTTCTTGCCCGCCGCTTTTCCCCACTTGCCGCTGCTTTTCGCCCCTTGCCGCTGCTTTTCCCCCCCTGCCGCTGCTTTTCTCCTCGTTGCCCGCTGCTTTTCACCCCTTGTCGCTGTTTCTCCCCCCCTTGCCTTCTATTTTTCTCCTTGCTGCCCACTGCTACTTTTCCCCGCTGCCTTCCCCCACTTGCCCCCTGCTTTTCCCCCACTTGCCCGCTGCTGTTTCCCCCCCCTGGCTGCCGCTTTTTCCCCCCTTGCCGCTGCCTTTCCTCCCCTTGGCGGCTGTTTTTCCCCACCTTTTCACCCGCCGTTCCCCCCCCCCCTTTTGCGGCTGTTGTCCCCCCTTGCTGGCCGCTTTTCCCCACTTGCCGCCGCTTTTCGCCCCTTGCTGCTGTTTCCCCCCCCCTGCCGCTGCTTTTCTCCTCTTTGCCTGCTGCTTTTCACCCCTTGTCGCCGTTTTTCCCCCCCTTTTTTGCCGCTGCTTCCCCCACCCCTCGCCCACTGCTTTTTCCCTGCCCTGCCCGTTGCATTTCCCCTCTTTGCCCCTGCCCTCCCCCCCCTTACCCGCTGTTATCTCCCCCCCTGTCCGTTGCTGTTCCCCCCTTTGCCCGCTGCTGTCCCCCCCCATACCTGTGGCCTTTCCCACCCTTGCCCGCTGCTTTTCCCCCCCTTGCCGCTCCTCTTCCCCCCTTGCTCGCTGCTTCTCCCCCCCTTGCCCGTTGCTTTACCCTCCCTTGCCCCTGCTTTCCCCCCCCCTGCCCGCTGTTATTCGCCCATTGCCTGCTGCTTTTCCCCTGGTCCGCTGCTTCTCCCCCCTTGCCTGCTGCTATTCCCCCCCTGGCCCGCTGCTTTTTCCTCCTGCCCGTTTTGCGGCCCATTTGGTCCCACCCATCCTTCGGTCCTCTCTCCACTCCCGACCCTCTCCTTTGACTGTCCACTTCCCCCCCACATTCCCCCATTTTCTTCGTGTTCCTCCCTTCCTTCTCCCCTTGGTTCCCCCACTCTTATCCCCTCCCGCTCTCCCCTACTGTTCCCCGTTAATTCCCCCTCGTATTCTATCCTGCTTTCCTCTCCTTTCCCCCTCTTTCCCCTCCTCCCCCCCTTGCTCACGACTTCTCCCCCTTGCCCACTACTTCTCCCCCATTGCCCACTGCTTCTCCCCCCCTTGCCCACGATTTCTCCCCCATTGCCCACTGCCTCTCCCCCCTTGCCCACCACTTCTTCTCGTTTGCCCACTGCTGTTCCCCTCCTTGCCCTCTACTCTTCCCCCGCTGCCCACCGACTTTCCTCCCTAGCCCACTGATTTCCCCCCCTTACCCGTTGCTCTTCGCCTCTTTGTCCAGTGCGTTTCTCCCCTTCCCTCACTGCTTTTCTTCCCCTTGCCCTTTGATTCCCCTCCTTGCTCCCACCAAATCACACGTCAGTTTCCTCCCTCGAAATCTTCCCGCCCCACACCCTGTGCTCTTCACTCTTCCCCCCCCTCCCCTTCCACGTCCCCCCTCTCCCTGCAGGCTGTTTCTTTCCATCTTGTCCAATCCCCGTTTCCCCACCTTTCCCCCGTACGCCTCCCCACAGTCGAGCTCCATAACCCGCCCCTAATCGCTGCCCCCTGTTTTTTCCCTATCCTCCCCCCCCCTGTCCCCCTCCCCACTCCACGCAGTTTCTCTGATCTCACCTTCTTTCCCGCTGTTTTCCTCCCTCCCTTCCCCCCTTGCCTCCCCCTCCTCCCCTTCTTCTAGCATGCAGCCCCCGTGGCCATGACCCACACCCCTGCAAGGGGGGGGAGGGCGGCCCCGGTGCACTCCGCCGGTCAGGCAGAGCCGGTGGCCGCCCTTCCCCCTACTCATCGCCTTCCATCCCCCCACCCAACAGTATCGCCCCGTCGAGGTGACCATCGGCAAGGGCGGGGACCAGGTGCGCTCTGCCTCGCGAGGCCAGAAACGACCACGGGAGAAGGCGGAGGAAGGCCATGCCTCACGCCTGGAGAAGCAGGAGCGCGAAGCCACACGCTCGCGCTCCCATGGTCGCAAAAAGTCATCTGCCCCCCCTCCGCCACTCCCACAGGCCAACACTAGCGCCAGGAGAGCCCCCACCTCCTCCACACCCAGGGCCACAGTTAGCAAGGCTGGCACAGGTGAGGCCGCAGCAGGGCCTGTGGCAGGGGATGGGGATGCGGCAGCACCAGGGGGTCCCGCAGAGGTGGCAGTGGAGATGGGGGTGTGGGAGGGGAAAGAGGGGGTGACGGAGAGGGCAGAAGGGGAAAGATCGGCAGGGACGGTGGGGGCTGGTGAGGACTCAGAGTGGGACGAGGCTGGGGACTTGGATGGGGACAACGCGAAGGACTCGGATGATGATGTAGTCGAGCTTATAGCACCCGCTCCTAGTGCAGCCAGGCTCGAGGCCGTGTCCTCAGCAGGGGAGCCAGCGACCGGAGCTGTAGGGTCGGCAGGAGCGGAAACTGGAGCGGAGGCGGAGGGGGAGGTGGCACGGGCTGGGGCAGAGAGGGCCACATTAGGGGGTATGGCCCGGGCCTATGCGCGGTCCATGGCCGCATGTGGTGCGGCGCCGGAGGCAGCGGCAGGAGAGGCTGCAGGTGTGGCAACAGCAGGGGCGGTTGCAACAGTGGCAGCCATCGGGACCGCGGCAAAGGAGGCTGCCGCAGGAGTCACCGCAGGGGGTACTCCAGCGGAGGCTGCTACGGCAGAGGCAGAGGCAGGAGAGGCTGCAGGGGGGAATGTGGAAAAGGCGGCTGCAGAGGCGGCAGCAGCACAGGCTGTAGCCGCAGGGGGAGGAACGACAGCCGTGGTAGGAGGGGCGGCTGTGGGGGCTGCCGCAAAGGCCTTTGCAGAAGTGGCAGCAGCTCCGGCACCGGCAGAGGCGCGGGCATCGGGGCCGGCTGCAGCGGGGGCGGCAGAAGGAGACCCTGCGGAGGCAGCAGCCGCTAGGGGTGTGGCCGCTCCAGAGGTGGCAGCAGCCGGGGGGGTGGTTGCTGCGGCGGCAGCAGCAGCTGGGGCTGCTGCAGAGGCAGGGGCAGCGGGAGCATGGGCAGCGGCGGCGACAGCTGGGGCCTCCGCGGAGGTGGCAGCGGAGGATCATGCACGGGGTGCATCGGCTCGGGCTCGGGATGCGGCAGAGGCAGCAGCAGCAGGGGCCTCAGTGGCCGCAGGGGCAGCCAGGGCTGATCTGGGGGCAGCAGCAGCAACAGGCGGCCCTGCAGAGGCGGCAGAGGCGGGAGCTGCGGAGAAGGTGGCAGCAGCAGTAGCTGGGGCTGCCACCGCAGAGGAGGCAGCAGAGGAGGCAGCAGCAGGCGATCTTGCGAGGGGCGCAGCGACCGGGGCTCGGGATGCCGCGGAGGCGGTGATGGCGGGGGCCGCCGCAGCGGCTAGGGTGGATGCCGGGGAAGCAGCCGAAGGAGTCCCTGCTGAGGCGGTAGGGGCAGGGACAACGGCAGAGGAAGCAGCAGCAGCAGCAGCAGCAGCAACAGGAGCACGTGCAGGGGCGGCTGCTGGAGCGGCAGGGATAGGAGAGCCACCGGAGGTGGCAGCAGCGGCAAGGCTACCTACGGCGGAGGAGGTGGCAGCGGAAGCTGTTGTACGCGCTCTCGCACGGGCTATTACCGGGGGGGGGATGTATGCACGTCTGGCAGCTGCTGCGGCAGCAGCGGAGGAGGCAGAGGTAGGGGCCGCTGCGGGGAAGGCAGCCAGGGGGAGCGCCACAGGGAAACCAGCAGCAAGTGCTGCGGCAGGGAAGGCAGCAGCGGGGGCAGCGGCAGGGAAAGTAGCAATGGGTCCCGCTGTTTCGCAGGCAGCGGCTAGCAGGGCCGCGACAGCGGCGGCTGCGGCGGCGGCGGCGGCGGCGGCGGCTGTGGTGGTGTCAGCGGAAAAAGGGGCAACAGGGGGTGCCGCACCGGGGGCAGCAGCGGAAGCGGCTTCAGGGAAGGCAGCAGCAGGATCAGCAGGACGTGCCGCAGGGGAGACAACCGCCGGGGTAGCTGCGGGGAGGGCAGCAACAGGAAGGGCAGCTGGGGCGGCAGCAGGGAAGGCAGCAACAGCAGCACCACGGGCAGCGGCAAGAGGTGCTGCACGGGAGAGGGCAGCTGGAGCCGCTGCAGGAAGGGCAGCAGCTGCGGCAGCTCCAGCAGGAGGTGTGGTGAGAGAGACAGCAGCCGGAGCGGCTGAAGGTAAGGCAGTAACTGGGACGAGGGCTAAGGAGGCCGGACACAGGGCAGCACCTGGGCCGGAAGAGACTGTCTCATCCCCTCCCACCACCCCCATCTCCCCCCTCCCCCCCCCTCCTTCCCCTCCTCCCCCTACTTCCCTTGCGGTCCCCCGTCCCCCCCTTCCCCCCCCTACTCCCAATCCCATGCATGCAGGGGCTTCACCAGCGGCGCAGGGCCCTCGCCGTGGGCTACAACCCAGGGCTATGGGCGGGGCGGCCCGAGCCTTGGCGTTTTTGGCGGACCCCTGTACACCCGAGCCAATGATCGGGACGCAGTCTCACCACTCCCTCTCCCCCCACACCCTCCCCTTACAGCCGAGTGTGCCCCACGAGGCGGCCACCGAGGATGGCACGGACAATGATGGCCCGCTCGCCGGATATATCTTGGTCGACTCAACCCTTCCATGCTCTCCCCCACCAGCCCTCGCGCCGACGCCAGGATCACAAACAACAGCCGGGCGGGTTGCTCCCTCCCCCCCCCCACCCACACAGGCTGCCGCGCCGGACGCCTCGACTTGGGTAGCACAAGGAGGGGCGGCTCTTGCCCAACCCCCTTCGTCAGTCCGCCCCCCACCCTGTTCCACCCCAGGTGCCTCCCGCCCGGCACAGGGCACACACCCTGTCGGCCACACGGGCGCGTCCCTTAGGAACGGTGAGCGGGGTGCACCTCTGGCAAGGGGGAGCAACCCGAATCAACTCCCTCTCGGCCCTCGCCGTCTCACCCCGGCTGATCCCACTTCCCAAGCCCCACAGCTAAGCTTCGGGCAAGGCGGGGGTCCCTCGGCGCCCACTCTGCTTCCCTTCCCGGCCGTGGGCCCTACCTTGCCCGCGCCCCGCCCCCCCCCTCCCTCTTCCACGCATCCCACCCGCCCCCTTTCCCTGGCAATCCAGCCGGAACTCCCCTTGCGCCCTTTCGTGCAGCCCCCAGGTTTCATGTCCCGCACGGCAGGCGACCACGGGAGTGCCTCCCTCTTGGGCCCTCCCTTGTCACTTCCGTCTCACACACCCTCCAGCCCAGCGCCGGGGCACCCAACCTTCCCACCCCCTCCCTTGAGCGTCCCACCCACGCTTAACCCTTACCCTACTGCCCAACCACCTCTCTTGCCTTGCCCTCCCACTCCCCCCCGGCCCATCAGCGCGAACAGGGGCGAGGCGAGGGCGACCCCCCCATCTCACCCTCCCCCTTCCTGCCCCACACACTCCTTGCCCGTCAGTATTCAGGTGGTCGCAGCGAGCCACCCATCCGCGATGGACGTCGACAAAATGGGAGTAGGGGACCTGCATGATGTCTCCTCCCAACCCTACATCCCCCCTTACCGTCGCTCCGCACAGGCAGCGATGTCGGCAGACGCCCAGGGGGAAGGAGACGGGGAAGGTGTCGGGGGAGGGCGGGGCATCGCGGATGGTGCTGCCGTTTCCACCACCGCCACCACCCCTCTCTTTCCCCCCCTGTCCCCATCTGCACCCGCCCCAGGGCAGGCCGCCATCCATACGCAGGCTAGCCCATCGCGGCAGGCGGCCATCGGCGGCCACACCCCCTCACCCTCCCAGCTGCCCCATTCTCACACTCCTCACCCACAGCAGGGGGCGGTCACACGGCAGCCGCTGATTGGACAGTTTGCCCAACCCCACACAGGTCGCCGGAAGAAGGGCAAGGGCAAGGGGACACCCGGGGCAGCCCGGCGCTCAGAGCAGCCGGACACGACTCCACCCTCTGCTGGCGTGCAGCCCTTACCATCCACCACCCCTCAGGCGACCCCATCATTGCCCCCGGCCCGCCACCCACTGCCCTCCCATAACCAGGATGGCGAGCTTCGGACGGTCTCCCTCCCTCACCCCACCCAGGCCCCACTCCCCTGTCACCCCCCCATCCCGCCTTTGGCCCCCCACCAGACGGTTGCCGCCGATGCCCCATCCGCGATGGAAATCAAACCGGAGGTGGAAGAGGTGTCGTTAGCCTCTCGCAAGCAAGCCTATATCCCCCCCCAGCGTCGGTCCCCACCACCCACTTCTTTGTCCCCCTCCGGTCCACAACCTCCGACCCAGGTCAGGGCACACGGTGGTTCGCCCACCACGACCAACCAGCCTGCCCTGCTCCCCCTACCCACAGGCGGACAGTCGCAGGGGGCAGATGGGGAGACGGAGGCGGCAGTTGCGGACCTTCTCAGGATATGGGACACGTCCGCCACCCCCTCTGCGCCCGCTTGTCCGGGTCGGTTGGACGCGGACCCTTTTAGCTGTCTCCCAGCCGTCCGACTCCCGGGGATGTGTTTCGAGAGCGGTGTGGCCGATCCCACCACCGCTACCACTTGTCTCCTTCCCCATGTTCCCTCACTCGCCCCAGCCCCACCCCCAGGACGGCTCGGCGCGCAAGCGCAAGCGCACGCTCACCCGACGCAGTCACCCGTTGCCGGCGACCAGGCCCCCTCACCCTCCCAGCCCTCCCACCCCCAACCACAGCAGGGGGTGGTCACCCTGCGGACCTCAGTGGGACGACCTGGCAGCCCCGGTACAGGTCGCCGGAAGGGGAGCAATGCCAAAGGGGCATCGGGGACAGCTCGGCCGCCAGGGCAGACGGACACGAGCTCAGCCGAGATGGACATCGATCCAGAGGCGGAGGGAGCGGCACCAGCACCTCCCAAGCAGCCCTACATCCCCCCCCAGCGTCGACCTCCCCCTCCCATCTCTTCCCCCCCCTCCCGCCCACATCCCTCCACCCAGGTCCAGGGCCAAGGCGGCCCACCCACCATGACCGACCAACCCGCCCTCCTTCCCCCACCCACAGGCGGACAGTCACAGGGGCCGGACTGGGAGACGGAGGCGGCAGTCGCCGACCTGCTCGGGATCTGGAGCATATCTGCTACCCCCTCTGCGACACCCCTAGGCCCAGCACCCCGGGCCGCGAGCGACCCGGCCGACGACCCCCGTGCCGCCCCCCCGTTATCTCCCTCCACAGCCCTCGCACCAGAGCGGATGGCTATCGACGACTCAAACGCGCCCCTTTTCCCCCCACTTGGCCCAGGCAGGACTACGCCTCCAGGCGACCGTACCTACGCTCAGTCAGCACACATGCACTCTGGCCCTCTCCTCGAGCCTGATGCACCCCTTGCCCCTGCCACCATCCCCCCACCCCACACGGCCACATCTCAGGCTCCTATGGTCCCCCCTCCCAGCTCACATCCGGGAGGAGCGTTTTCGCGGCCCAGTGCTATAGACCCTCACCCCCCACCCACACCAGCACACGGCTTGACACCCGCGGCCGACCCCGCCACCGGTGTTTTCCCCTCCCCTCAGGATGCAGGGGCCACACATAGGCCCTCGGGCCCCCCATCGACCTCTCCCCCTCTTGCGACATCGCCGCCGCCGCTGACCCCCGTCCGACCCCAGGTGGCAGGTGAGCCTCCTTCCCCAATGCCGGGCGACTATCGACCGGACCCGGTTGTCGAGCCAGCCGCCTCCACCGCCAGCTCGGACGAGACCGCCCACACCGATCACGCGGACGAGTCCACGCCAGCCCATGAGGTGAGATGTCCCACGTGCCTTAACCTCATGGCGGACGATAGAGCTCTCCGACACCACACACCTCACTGCACCCCGAGCGATGAGGCACGCCGTGTGCAGGCCCGCCAGGAGGCCGCCTCGGTCGGCATATCACTCTCACGTCCGGGGTCATCTGTCCCCGTCTTTTCCGACACGCAGTGGGCGCAGCTGGACTCTGTGGATTGGAGGGAGTATTTCTCCCCGTCCCGGACGCATGCTCGCCCGCTCCGGCGCATCCCGCCGAGGGTCCGCGGAGGCATCTCTGATGTCCTCCGCGCGATCACCGCCCGTATGGAGCAGTATCCGGACGCCGACGGGCCCCACTTCTTGTTTACGGCGGTGCCGACGCTGTTCTTGTTTACGGCGGTCCCACTCCACCAGAGCGGGGCCACACAGCTTCCATCGTGGCTCGCATCGCACGCTTCTTCCGAGGTGAGTGGGACCCTCTCTTCTCTGACGCGCTGCGTCGTCGCACGCCCCTGCCCGCCCGCACATCACGTCGCGCCCCCGGCACCGCCACGTCGGGAGACGAGCGTCGGATTGTGCGTTGCCTACGCTTGGCAGCGTGCAACGAGACATCTCGTGCGTGCGCGGCACTAGAGTCGGCCGAGGCGGCTCCAGACACGGATTGCACGGTGCATAGCCTACGGGCTAAGCACCCTAGTGCGGAGCGCCCTCTACCGGAGTGGCTCTCCACCTTCCACGAGGGCGGCCTCGTGCTCTCGGCCACCCACCTGCGCCAGGCCATTTTCACTGCACCGCGGGGCTCGTCGGGAGGACCTACTGGATGGGTGGCGGAACACCTCCGCGACACCTTTTTGGCGTTCCCACAGACCCTGCCCTCCTTGCTGTCTGTATACCAGCTCTGGCTCGGAGGACGCTGCCCCTCAGCTGCGCGCTCTCTCTTGGCTTCGTCCACCCTCGTGGCTCTCGCGAAGCCGAACAGGGACGTGCGGCCGATCGCCATTGGAGAGGTGCTCGTGCGTGTCCTCTCCCGGGCAGTCTGCCTCCAGCTCCGCGACCAGATGGCGAGAGTGTTCCTCGCGTCACAGCAGTTCGGAGTCGGGGTCACGTGTGGCACAGAGGTCACCGTTAGAGGCGTTGTCCGTGCTCTAGCCGACCACCCAGGCTGGGTGGTTCTGCAGCTAGACGTGGCCAATGCCTTTAACTCTTTCTTTCGCGACGTCCTGTTCCAGGCACTGCATGCGAGCCCTGAGTTCAGGTGTCTCATCCCATTCATTCGTCTTTTCTACGGCACGCCGTCTGATCTGATCTATCGGACTGGTAGGGGAGTCACCACGATGCACTCGGAGCGCGGCACCCGGCAGGGAGATCCGCTGAGCCCGTTTCTCTACGCACTCACGCAGCGCCTCGCCCTGGAGCCCGTCCTGGCAGGTGGTGATGTCCAGCTCTGGTCGTACGCCGACAACACCTACCTCGTGGGCCCTCCAGACAGGGTGCTGCACCATTTCACTGAGGTCGTGAGGCGCTTGGGCGAGTTGGGCCTTGCTGTCCAGCCGCACAAGTGCCTTGTTCATCACACGTCCGCGATCCTGCCCAGCGAGGTGCAGGCTTTCACCGGTCTTGGCATCGAGGTCGCACGCCGGGGGCTCACCGTGACGGGCGTTCCGGTCGGCACCGATACCTTTGTGAGGACCAGCCTGCGCGACCGACTGGAGAGGATGGCTGGGGTGCTGCCGTGGCTCCCGAAGCTGCGGCAGCCACAGACAGCGGCGCGCCTGCTCTCCGCGTGTGTCAGCACACGTCCGCAGTACTTGGCGCGGACAGTCCCCCCATCACCAGAGGTACGTGCCATCTTTGCAGCGTGGGACGCGCGCTTGGGAGCGACCTTCCAGCAGCTCCTCGTTCGAGGTACGTGGAGGGAGGGGGATGCAATCTGCAAGGCAGCCTTGGAGCAGGCTTTTCTCCCGATTCGCCTCGGGGGCTTCGGCATCCGACGCATGGAGCGCATCGCCCCGGTGAGTTATCTCTGTTCGTGGGCGCAGTGCGCACCGATTCTCTGCTCGCTGCCGTCGGTGGGGGAGGGCTTCCGTCAGAGCTTCGCATCAGGTGAGCCCGTCCAGATCGATCCGCACATCATGATGGCTCAGGAGGCCCTGCCAGCAGACGTCCTACGCCTCATGCGGGCCTGGCCTTCTTGCGCGACAGGAGCACTGGACGGCCTTTTCAGAGAAGCCAGCAGACACATCAAGGTGCACGCTTTGGAGTCGGTACGTACCCGTCATACTGATCCCCTGCATCTTGCCCGTTTGACATCCCTTCAGGGTCCAGGTGCGGGAGCTTGGCTTACGACGGTACCCTACGCGGACTCCCTGCGCATTCCGGAGGCGCAGTGGCAGGTGGCTTCATGCTTTCGTCTCGGTCTCCCCATTCCCCAGTTAGTCCTGGCAGGTCAGTGCTCGTGCGGAGAGGAGATCGCCGACATGTCGGTGCCGCATCACGCGGTGCGGTGCGCGCGCTTCGCGGTCGCCACGACCATCCACGACACAGTGAAGTACATGCTTCGTGACTTCGCGGACGAGGCCGGCTTCGCTGTCCAGGTGGAGGACACGGCGCTCATTCCGCACCTGGAGGCGGCGCGAGCTCGACTGCAGGTTTTGCACGTGGGGGAGGGGCAGGGGCAGGAGCGGGCAGGACGGACAGGACGGCAGCAGCGGCGGGATCAGGAGGGGGGGGAGAGGCAGGCGGGTGAGGAAGGAGAGAGGCAGGGGGCGGAGGAGGAGCCGGAGGGGCAGCAGCGGCGGTTCGGCAGGGAGGATCAGCAGCAGCAGCAGGTCACGGGAGAGAGCCGGCGGGAGGAGGAGCAGCAGCAGCAGCGGCAGGGTGGCGGAGAGGGGCAGCAGCGGCGCGTGGGGGGAGAGGGGCAGGTACAGCAGCCGCAGGGAGCTCAGGCAGGGCCGCAGCGGGGGGCCCAGGCGGGATAGCAGCAGGAGACAGGGCACAGGCTCTTGGGCAGGGCACCACCGAGGCGGGTGCACTTCGCGAGCTAGGCGTTTGGAGAGGTGCACGCGGAGGGGAGGACAGGCGAGGGTGGGCTAGAGAGGTCGGTAGTGGGCCGGGGTATAGGAGGGACGGAGGGCGGGAGGGGAGGGGGGGCGGGAGGGAGAGAGGAGATGGCGGAAGGGGCGGGGGTGGCAGGGGGAGTGGGGGAGGGGAGAGCGGGAGGGAGGAGAGGGAGGGTGAGAGGGGGAGTTGGGAGGGGGACCACGACGACCAGAGGGGGGGCATCAGGGGACCAGACAGAGCAGCAGCCCGCGCAGCAGCAGCAGACGCCAGCCGCTCGCACAGGCCGCATAGGGGCACCCGCCCGCATTCCCGACCTCACCTGCAGGGCGCCGCGAGATGCATTGATGGTGATTGTAGACGTCTCGGTGGCAGACCCACAGCGGGAGGGGAATGCGCAGTTCAGGCGGATGGCACCCACTCAGATTGGCGGCGCAGCAGCTAGGCGGGTGCAGGATAAGCTGCGACACTGGAGGCCGGTGTTACAGGGGTTGCAGCCGGATCCAGAGTTCTACGCCTGCGTAATGGAGACTTTTGGGTGCCTGAGTGAGCCACTGCGGCAGTTCCTAGGGCTGTGTGCATCGCGGACAGCACGGCGGAGGAGAGATTCAGGGGCAGGGGATGACGGGTCAGCACGGATATTTGAGACGAGCCTCACTACGCGTCTCTCCGTGGCACTGCAGCGTGCGCATGCAAATGTGATCATGCAGCATGCAGTGCGGCAGCTGGGCGGCTCCGACAATGGATGGATGCCAGCACCTGTACCTTTGGGCGCTGGGCAGGGGAGTTGGCACCACATCACAGGGTGCTTCGAGAGTGCAGCAGACATGCAGTATATGTATGATGCATATGTGTAACAAAAAACATATATAGGCCGTGCTTGAGACGCTGTGCCCGCGCTGTGCGCGTGGGCTGTTGCTTTGTTAGGTCCCATGATGTCCCTCTGATATAGTCACACCCCCCCCTCCCTCCTTCCCCTCTCCTCTTTCTCTCCTCTTTCTCGCTCTCTTCTCCCCCACTCTTTCTGCTACCTTCTTCCTTCCATTATCTCCTTTCTCTTTCCTTCTCTATCTCTCTTCTCTCTCATTTTCTCTTCTATACCTCTAAATGCAACTATGTCATAATAGCGCAACGCTCATGCCGAAATTCTCATCTTCGGCTTTAGAAATTGCTATATGACTTGTAACCCTCTTTACTTTTAATGAGAACACTTGCCTGTCAACGCAGGGGAGACCTTAACACTCCTTAAAGCCCGTGGCCCAAATTGCGAGGAGCGACCTTCAAACGCACTGCGTTTGAAAGTCGCGTTTTCATGGGTGTAGATGGGGGTAACGTGACTTGCGTCACTCGGGGCTGGCTTTCAAGTTCAGCGCGGAACGTATTTTGAGATACCAAGTGCCTCGCGTTTTTTAGCCGTCCAATATTTGTCGATTTCCATCTAACGGCGCGCAAGTAAAGTGCTTCCCCCAGTCAATCGAAATGTAATCTCAGCCGTCGCACTGCCTGTTTGCGAATCGGACGATCTACGACAAATCACGAATTCGCGACATGCCCTCACGAGTTTTCTGTGTATTTTGTCCAGGCCGAGGCTCATAGTTCATACGCAGTGCGTATGAACAATTTGGGCCGCGGGTTTTAATGGCGTGTTTCGCCACTATGTATCAATCATGGTATAATATCACAATATTATACTTTGTGAGTCCTTTCATGATATCGACAAAATTGTTTTCGTTCTCTTTTCTTCTCTTGGATTTATGTTAGTTTCCAAAGCCTTCTCTTGACCATTGTTATTGGGTGATTTACTATTTATGGGTAACTTTGTCAAGAGACACGTTGGGTTGATCCTCGGGGAAGAGTTACAGGCCATCTCTCTGCCTGGGGGGTTATGGACGCACATACCAGCTACTTTTAGCTTAGTGATTAGTGATTGAGATCTGACATGGTATCAGAGCAGGCATCTCGGGTTCAGTTCCTTGGGTTAGTGTTGCAGAGGCGCTTGTGTCTTCCTCCTATCCCAGCGATGGGGGGTGTTAAGAGACACATTGGGGTTGCCCCTGATCCTCGGGGAAGGGCTACATGCCATCTCTCTGCATGGGGGGTTATGGGCGCACATACCCGCTACTTAACAAGCCCTTTTAGCTCAGTGGTTAGTGACTGGGTTCTGACAAACTTCTCCTGACAACACAATCCTGTTGAAGTGAACCACGTGTTTAGGGTGGCCAGGATCTAGAGTTGGTGGAACCAGAGTAAAAGTCAGCATAAGACTTTACACTTTGTATTGGAAATGTTCGAAATGATAAGGATAATAATAATGAGTAAGACAGTTATATTTGTAGTCTAGAAAGTAGACTTTTGCCTACTTTTGCCTTTATGCGAAAGACCCACTTGCCCGAAAGAATATTCTTGCCGCATGCGGCTTCACGTGGAACGAGTTTCCACGGTTTCCGCTTCTCGATAGCTGATACTTCTGCACCCATAACTGCTCGCCATTTGTCAGCATCATAGCCAGAGAGGGCCTGCTTGACTGTCTTCGGCTCGATTCCAGCCGCTGGTTGCTAAACTGCGACAGCAAGGCCAAGGATCTGAAGAGCTGATTGGTCACCATGAGGATGTGGTTGGCAAACTTCGACGACGTCATCGTCGTCAATTTTGAATGGCTGATGGCAGGCACTGTCATGTGATGTTGCATTAGTTTTCTGTTGCTGCAGGTGCTCCTCATAATTATAGGCAGCGTGTGTCATGGCAGGATGCTACAGGTCCCAGAGGGGAATGAGGAGCGGAGTGTCTGTGCCATTGGCACGTGTCTAAGGAATATATGATTCGAACAGTTTTGCGTTACGGGAGGAAGGACCAGGTGCAGCTGCTGACGTAGACGGCTGCGGAACTATAGAAGATCCTTCTGTGGTGCTGTCAAGCAGATGATATTCTTCGGCTGCATGTGCTTTGTCTTGAGGGGTGGCGAAACTCCGTTCGGCATTGTAGCAATCAGGATCCCGCTTTTGGCGTTCCTTGTCGCGTTCAAATTCCTTGAGAAAAGTTTCTCATAGGAGATGCACTCGCGGGCATATAAAACCTTTTGGGTTTCATCATCCATGATTATCCAGGAGTAGGAATCTTTAGGTACATGGAGGTCTATTTCCCATCGAGCCCTTTCAGTGAATCTGTCCACAGTTGCGCTTGGGTGTCGATATCGGACCATGTAGCCCCTGTCCCATTAAATTCGAGTGTCGGTGGGCTGCTTCGTCCACATGACGTGTAGCGAGCTGAACTGAGGTAGAGCAGTTGAAGAGAGATAGTTGTGCAGACGGACAGCTTGCGCTATCTCAACCAACCAAAAATTTGTTGTCAAGCTGGATTGTTGTAATAGCACGCGCATCTTCTCTTGCACCATTTTGTTCGTCCTCTCAGCTACTCCATGTTGGTGATAGGTGAAAGGCATTGTCTTGCGCCTAAGGATTCCTTTCCGCGCCAGGAAGTCATAGAACTACCCGCTAGTGTACTCGCTGGCGTTGTCAGTCTGGATCTCTTTCAGCCTGATGCCGCTTTGCCGCTCCGCGATTTTCAGCCGTAGCTTGAAGGCGTCGAGAGGTTGAGACTTGTGAGAGATGTTCTTCTGCCAGGCGTATCGAGAAGCACTATCAATGAAAGTAATTATATAACGAAAGTTGCTGCCACTGATATCCTCTTCTTCCTCAGCATGAAGAGGATGTCGCTAAAAACGACGTCCATTGGTAAATACTGAATAGCACTTGGGAAGTGCGAGGGGAACGGAGCATGACCCAGGTGAGTGCCGGGGCAGATGGTGCAGGGTAGTTGGCGAGTGATAAGGTCGAAGTTCTTGGCCGTTGGTTAAAAGGAGAGCGTCCTTGTCGAAAACCGAGTCTTTAATCGAGTTGTTAAGAGCTTCTTGCGAGGGATTACCTAACCGCTTGTGCCGGGTTTGTGCCGTAGTCCTGTGTCCCTTTGAACACATGTACAAATTGGAGTGAAGGAAGAAGACCGGCGGAAGATGAATCGTTGGCGCAGGATTAACACAGTAACCGTTGCCGAAGGGCTGGACGCAGAAGACGTTGAGACCACGATGATCTTGGCATTGGTAATCCGTATCCCAGTGATGGTGCCAAGGAGCAAGTGAGACATTCTTCTCACTGCCGCCAAATCCTTTTACAGGTAAGAACCCCAGAACGGAAACACCATCTTTAATTTCTGCGATGTCGACTAAATTACTTTTGTCTTCCTTCTTGTCGCCCAGGTACAACTCCTTGAGCATCGTGTTGGCAGCACTAATAAAGCAGATGCTGCTTTCCATCAATTGCGCTTGTGATAGTAGGTTGAATCCAAGCCCCATGACGATGAGATCCTTGTTAATGTGAAGTGAAACTTCTGTATCGCTGGATCCTAGTATCACATGATTGTTGGCCACGGTGATGTTGTACTTCTCTCCTTTTGGCAGGTCTTGCCAGTTAAGAAGATAACGACTTGAAAACGCCGTGTGATGACCGCAGCAGCTGTCAAGAAACCATATGTTAACATGCTAGGGATACGCCCCCTTGGCTATATGAGCTTACATCTGCACGTTCAATCATCGAGGAAAACCGTTAGGCTGCTCTAGTTCTGAGATGTTCCCTTGGGAACGAAGAAGGGACTTGCACTACCTCCATTCGGGTCCAAGTCCAGCCAAGAGGATAGTGACGAAGAGCGCATTGCTGAGGTTTCCTCCGCACTTGCCGAGCTGGTCCTGAAGATTTCTGCACCTGTTGATGTAGCTGCCAGCTTTTTCTCTCGGGAGCATTTGCATTGATGTAAGTTGACTTAACAGCTTGCTCTGTGAAACGAAATCTTGTGCTAGATACAGCCTTCAGAGAAAATCCTAGGCATAAAAGGCTGGAGCGAGTTAATTTTTTAAGCACCGAACTCCCAACTGCTCTTCAGGTGAGAGATTCCGCACCAGTCGTGTATAGGCTATAAGCGAATACTTGTAATAACGTGCCTGTTCTTCGGTCGTTCCTTTTTCTGGATAACGGATTGTACCATCAAAATATCCCCCGATACCCGAAGATTTCCACAAGTATAGAAGTCGCGGCCATCAAAGTGAGTTGAGGTCTTCAGCTTGGAGATAGCTAGGAAATCCGCTTGATTTACGACAGCTTGTGCAGCAAATGGTCTTTCTTCTGCCATTTGATGTTGTTGCTATTGTGGTTGCTATTGTTGTTGTGGTTGAGCAGGTTGCCCATAGAAGGCAAACTCAGCAGATTCATCTCTAGGGGCTGAAGGTCCAGCAGCAATAGCAGCTCTGGCATAACTGGAGTTATCAAGGCTCATGGAAGCTGCAGGATGTGCTGGAGCTTGTTGTTGTTGCTGAGTAGACTGATTAGCCATCAAGGAAGCAAAGTCAGATTGTCAGTAGATAGACCAGAAGTAGGAGAATTCATAGTTGAATTTCCAGTCTAGTAGCTGACATAATTATGGATCTCTAACTTAAGCTTAAAACCATAGGCTAGAATAGGACACCTTGGGCGCTCTTGAAATCTCCGTTGTTTGGGGGTCGGAATAAATGGCCTGTCATGGAGCACTTTGTATCAAACGAGACGAAAAAAACAAACGGATTGTGACTCTTTAAAACATCGCGAGAGGGCCACGACTCACCCTGCTAATACACGACTTGGGTGGAAAACAGTGCGACAAGCCCAATAGTCGCACAACTCAACCAAAATGCACTTCATGTAAGCACACCCCATTTTCCATCGTTCAAGAGCTCCATGGGTGTGCAACACATTTCCAGAAGTCCATTATCGCATAGTCAATCACTCTTAGAAAGCCATAGCTACCACTGCATAGGTCACCTTTCCAGAAGTCCATTATCGCACAGTCAATCACTCTGAGGAAGCCATGGCTGCCACTACATAGGTCCTAAAAAAAATATTAGCCCGCTCATCAATGTACAACTCCCCCCACTACGTTTAGAGTGTTTTAGTCTCGCGAAAAGACGACCTCAGGTGTAGTGGCGTCAATAGAGAGACGATCTAGGATTGGCGAATAGAACACTGTCCCCCCCGTAATTTGCGAGGCAAGCTACTCTAAGACCCGCCAGGAGCCTCCGAGACCTGGCGCGGCAATTAGCTTAGGCCACGTGGAGCACACGTGGAGTGAACAACAGGCGCACGTCTACCCATCATGTCGGTAAAGCGTGCGGGGAGCTGAGGGCAAGGAGAGGCCGATGATAGGGTTAGGAGAGTGGGAACGGAGTGCGAGAAGAGGGGGAACGGACGACGAGGAGAGGGGGAATGGATGGCGAGGGGAGGGGGAACGGACAGCGAGGGGAGGGGGAACAGATGGCGAGGAGAGGGGGAACGGACGGCGAGGAAAGGGGGAACAGATGGCGAGGGGAGGGGGAACGGACGGCGAGGGGAGGGGGAATGGATGGCGAGGAGAGGGGGAACGGACGGTGAGGAGAGGGGAGAGGGACGACAAGAAGAGGGGAGAGGGACGGCGAGGAGAGGGGAGAGGGACGGCAAGGAGAGGGGAGAGGGACGGCGAGGAGAGGGGAGACGGACGGCAAGGAGAGGGGAGACAGACGGCGGGGAGAGGGGAGACAGACCGAGTGGAGAGGGGAGACGGACAACGAGGAGTGGGGAATGAGGGGGAGAGAAGACAGCAAGAGAGGGCAGAGAGCAGATGGAGAGGGGAGGGGGGTAGAGGGCAAGTGGCAGAGGGGAAAGCGAGGGTAAGGAGAGGTGTGGGAGTACAAGCTAATCCCAGGTAACCTCTAAGGCAAGGGCCTAAAGACCAGTCAGTAAGAGTACAAGCTAATCACAGGTAACCCAGGAACTACTAGTCCAGCAACTGGAACAAGAGCCACAAGGCCAGTCAAGATCATATAAGGAGTAGTACACAATCAGGGTCCTAGCAAGTGAGGAGCTACTTGAACTAGACCAAGCTGTACACAGTGCCGCTGATGATCTTTAGGCGCAAGTGCCTTAGTAAGGGGTGTATCAGCTTTTACATATTTGTATATGTAGTAGTTATAAGCTATAAGGGTTCATGCTCTTAGGGAGGACAACACCCAACCTTGTATTCCCTTGTATGCCTTCATTCTAATCATTCCGTTACTCTGAGAAACTGAACCTCTTCACCCAATTCGGAGACGTAGGGATATGAGCTAGGAGCCAGCGAGCGCGGGGCCGGCGAGCTAGGGGCCGGCGAGCGTGGGGCCAGCGAGCAAGGGGCCGACGAGCGCGGGGCCAGCGAGCTACCGCATCTAGGGCGAGCTACTGCAGCTAGGGCAGGCTAGGGCAGGCTAGGGCGAGCTAGAGGGGCTAGGGCGGGCTAGGTCGGCTAGTGCAGAAGTTGGTGGGCGGACCTAGCCTAGCTGATACCATCTCAGAGTAACGGAATAATTAGAATGAAGGCATACAAGGGAATATAAGGTTGGGTGTTGTCCTCCCTAAGAGCACGAACCCTTCTAGCCTATAACCGCCACATAAACAAACACGTATAAGCTGACACAGTGCACCAGAACGAACACACCCCAGTCTCAGCTTTCTTCCCTATTGGATTTGTCGTGCATGGGTTGGGGACCTCATCGCACATGTTCCAAAATCGCCCAACCTCCCGTAGGTGTGGCTTATGGTGGGTTCGTATCTGCCCAGTTTGTAAAAAAAAAAAAAAAAAAAAAAAACAAGCAAGTTCGCTCTAGCAACCCAGCTTTTTCAAGAGTGCCCCCACTTCATGAGCGGCTCAATTGAAGCCCCCCCCTATGTTATTTTAGCCTGTGGTTTTAAGGGCGTAATCAAAATCAGCTTGTATTAGTTCTTGTAACTTTATTTGTTCAGAATACTATGTTGAATTGAACCAGGTGCTTAGGGCGACCAAGATCTAGAGTTGGTGGAACCAGAGTAAAAGTCAACGGAAGACTTCACACCTTGTATTCAAAATGTCTGAAATGACAAGGAAAATCAATAATGAGTAAGATAAATTTATAGTCTAGAAAGTACCTATTCGGGATGCATCTGTTTGTAGCGTATTGCGACTATTCGCTTGTCATGACTAGTGACTGTTCGTGTGACTAAGAGTGGCGTGACCCTTCGGGTGACTATACGCGCGAACATACTGCTCACGCGTTGACTCGCTATTGTTGACGTCATCACGCGCGTCCTTCCATATGAGGTATCGCGCTACTAGTACAGTCTAAATATTATATCAGGAATGTTTAAGTGGTAAATCTATCGAGTACACTTGAACAAATCCAACCGATCACATCCTGATACTCTCACAACCCATCTAGGATTTCCAACTTGTCATGTGGCACTCTAGTTTTGCCAAAGTCTCCAATTTTCCAACAAAACCATTTTCCACACCTACCGTAATCATGTGGCATGATTACCCTCCCGAAAAAGGGACTCAGGGTCTTTTTTCCGGACCATGGGTCTTAATATCCTAAAGGGATTGTGAGGAACCGCTGTTTGGGGTAAATCATTTGAGGACCCCCCCCCTTCAGTTTTAAGAGGTTTTCCTGGCAGTTTCTGCTCAATTTCAAATTGCGTCTTGCACTACTAAGTCAATTTCTACATCATGAGTTAGGACGGTTCTACCCGGCTACTATTGCTTCATGCCAATTGCATCCTACCTACACTACATACTGCATTAGGGAATCCTAGGCACTGCACATCCACGGTAGCACACCTCATGTTAGACCAACTCATTGAACCTACTAATATGGTACACATCCACCGAACTACTACTAGCTACCACTACTCAAGGGACTCAATGTCCCAGGCTGTGTTGACGTCCACCTCGCCATGGGAACTCTAAGACTCTGTTGTTGAGGCCTCTTCGTCCGCCGCTGCTGATGCCGCTTCTGCCGCTGCATCTGCCGCTGTTGTTGCCGCTGCTGCTGCTGCCTCCTCTGCCTCCTCCTCCTCCTCCTCCTCCTCCTCCTCCTCCTCCTCCTCCTCCTCCTCCTCCTCCTCCTCCTCCTCCTCCTCCTCCTCCTCCTCCTCCTCTTCCTCCTCCTCCTCTTCCTCCTCCTCCTCCTCCTCCTCCTCCTCCTCCTCCTCCTCCTCCTCCTCCTCCTCCTCCTCCTCCTCCTCCTCCTCCTCCTCCTCCTCCTCCTCCTCCTCCTCCTTTTCCTCCTCCTCAGCCATCTCCCCATCCCCCTCCTCCTTGCCTCCCTCCCCCTCGTCCTCCTGCTCGGCCTCCGCGTAGAGTGGATTGATCCACTCTTCCACGGCACCGGCAGCATGCACGTCATCGTGCACTTTGACTTGGGCGGCGTCGCGCATGTGAGCGAGGACCAGGTGGTCCTCGCTCCCGTCGGGGTTGTTGCTGATGCCGCACGTTTTGAACGCGCGGACAATGATGTCCAAGGCGACAAGGTCTCATGAGTTCCAGATCCGGCGTAGGACCAACTCTGGCGGCGGCTTCCTCATATTGCCTGCTCAAGTGAGCAATCAAGAGGAAGAGAGAGAGGTGAGATTCCAGAATTGTGAGTTAAACAGGGCAGGCACTCACATACCAGCAAACATGAGATAGGCTCACCAGCGGGAGTCAGCAGGTCAATGCCTTCTGTGGCGAACCAGTCGTTGTAGAACTGCCGGACGCCCACCTTGAAGGCACGGTTGATGACGACGCTAAGCGGCTGCAGAGGGGGCGTGCAACCGCCAGGGATGATTGCGGGGGTGATCCTGTGCCACCTAAAGGAGCCAAGCACGCCGTCCGTCAAGGTGCCCACGGAAGGAGTCCAGGACAAGCAGTGTTTTGCTCCTCGAGACACCTGCGGGGGGGCGAATGAAGGGCAGCAACACGTGTTGCACCCAATCTTGCACGAGGCCTCCATCCATCCAGCCTCGCTCCTGGGCTCGGATGAGGATACCTGCACAATAGTGCATGCACACCGTTAGGAATAATAACGGGGAAACAGCTAGGGAGACAAAATAGGCTGTCATGTAGCAAAACTCACCAGGTGGTGCTCGAATGTTAGGGATCGTCTTCTTTTTGAAGATGACCATGGGAGGCAGTTTCCGGCCGTCTGCTGTCACCCCCAACATCACCGTCACCCTCTTCTTCTCATACCCGGCGCTCCAAATCTGCACAGTCCGATCCCCGCGATGGTGAAGTGTGCGCTCGAAAGGCATCTCTCGGTACACTGGATTTTGATCCACATTGATCATGTTCCATAGGTCGATGCCGCTCTCCACTACCTGTTTCCGGACGAAGCACCAAAAGCTTTCGCTCTTTGGCTTGCAATCTTCCAGTGGAAACAAGAGATACGCGGAAGAGGAAGGTAGGGGTGAATACGCCATGTTATTCTACGACCATGCGGCATGCAGTGGCGTAAAACGAGGTCGGCGCGAATGAGAGAGGTTGGCTTACCGCGGGTCAAATGCTGACCAATCTTGGTCTTACTCGCACGGTGAGGCCCCAGCGAACGCGAAACTTGAAGGTCCAATGAGGCGAGGCCCTCCAGTCCATCTCGGGATGGTGAGTCTTCATGAACTGCCGGCTCCAAACCTGAAGGAGGGAAATCGGGACTACAAGGCAACGGGAGCGGTGGCTCAGGAATTTTCTATAGACAGCCTGCTCCATGTCAGGATGCCTCAATGGCCGCTCTGCACCCACAAGCCTACGCCTGGAGCCCGAGGCATGCGTAATGTCCTCTTCCTTCTTGAGCCAGCGCCGAATGCTCACCAGCTCGACGCCCGCTTCCTGCGCCACCCCTCGAACGGTCAGCCCCTCATCGTGCATCTTGTGCAGCCAGCCGATTTTCTCGGCCATGGTGCGCGATGTGCAGTGGTGCTTTGTCCTCATGGCGCGAGACTCTGGTGCACAGGCGTCAAGTGGACGCCGAGCCTCGGTGTCGTGACGAAGAATGTCTGGCGGGAATTGAGGGACAGGGACGGAGGGACGAGGGGATTATTCTGTGTTGGGCACATGCTCATGGGGGGTGAGGTCCTCGTCATTTGTCGGCTCCCAAAAGCCAGCAAACGTAGGCGATGGCAGAGGAGGAGCCGGAGGAGCAGGAGGCGCTGGCAGCGCAGGAGGCGCGGGTGGAGCAGGTGGCGCAGGTGGCGCTGGAGGTGCGGGCGGCGAAGGTGCTGCTGAAAAGTTGGACGGTCTGCTGTGCGAACGGGTCTGCCTAGAGACGCGATTCTGCATGAGCATTTGCAGAGCCGACATGGCTGTTGCTTGGAAAAACCCTACACGTAGCTGAGAGAGAGGGGAGAGATGCCATCTCCTGGAACATCAAGCTTGCTAAAAACCCTGGTTCAATAGCATGAAATGAGACTACTCGCAGTGACTACCCCCCTCTGAAGGCAGAAATGAGAGGGACGTCATGACACGACGATGGAGGGAGACATGCCTGCTTGGCACGTGAAACCTCTCAATGGGGTGGACCCTGAGGAGACTCCGTGAATGAACCTCCCCCCTCCTTGTAATGACTCCTGCTGGCATTCAAGAAGCCAGCGCGACGCGCCAGCGCTGTAAAGTTGGCAGCCGTCGGTGCTAAGAACCTGACGCGTGTCCATCTAGATGGCTCGGACAAAACAAGGTTAACATTATACTTTCCCCCGTTTGAAACAAAGGACCCCCTGTATAACACTGATTGGAATACCAGAACATGTGACAAACAAACTCCTTACGTAATAAATGGCTGCACATGGGTCTTATTAATTACCATCCTTTAAAATGTCCTCCCAAACGATTTTCACTTAATTTTCCATAAGACCTAGGGTCATCATGCCGGGAGATTACGGTATTATTTTCATGTTATATGAACACATTACCGACAAGACTGTTGCAGCCCCTCAAGCCACCTCAATGCCCATGGCTACACGTGACGATGGACTTCATCACATGACTACCGGCCAGATGTAGAGGAAATTGTTACACTCACAAGGCTCAGATGTGCCTAAAATGAGAGAAATTGTCCACAGTCAGAATTCCGTCAGCCAGCTTCAAATATTGATGCTGATCTAATCTATGTCTCAAACGGTGATCTGTAAATTGGATCTCGAGCGCGTTGCTGTCGCCTATCAGCAGCAAGTTGAATAATAAAATTCCATGAAGATTTGACGGCGCTATGGCGATTTGACTGCCAGAAGGTACAGCAGCCACTAAAGTCTTAGGAGTACAAACTTAGCAAGAAGAGTTCGAGATGGAGATGGTTCCCAGCCTCTACATACCCCAAGAGCCGAGGTCCAGGTTGGTGGTACACCACCACAGAGTCCCCAACCACGAAGAGTCTCGAAACCAACCCTCGAAGGGGCTACACCAAGTGAAATGTAACACTACACGAAGTAGCGTTACTATTGTCATTATTCAATATTTATCCGCGTCCCTTGGGCTTGAAATCTTGAGCTCTTGGTCTTGGATCTGCAAGATCAATTCTTTTTGAGTTGATGGGGGCTTGTTGCACACACCTGCGATGCGATGGACACTTCACACTCGACAAAATAGAAAAAACACATGCGACACACAAACGACGACTTGGCATGCGAGTGCCACAACATCCCTTATGGCACGAAAGAGTGCCATGTACTCGGACTCCACCGAGCTCAATACTTGGTCCACTTGCCTCTTGCTCTCCCAAGCTGTTGGGCCTCCACCAACACAGCAGATGAAGCCTCCCACACTTGTCATGTCCTCTGGTTCTGATGCCCAAGATGCATCAGAGAAAGCGGTGAGAAAGAGCCTCCCGGGTTCGACTCCATCCGCACCCTTTTGAAGCCTTTGTGCCGCCGCGGAGTATTGCAGTCCAACAGTTTCTGTTTGGCCAAGGTACTTGGCCACCCTCTCTCCAGCTGCTACCTGCTCTTCATTAGGGCATTGGACAACCCTAGCCAGCTGCCCGGTAGCAAAGGCTGCATCCGGCCTTGTGTGAACGGCCGCATACATGAGGCTGCCCTTCAAGGAATGAAAACGGCGCCTCTCCTCTTCTCCAACACTTTCCTCCGCTGGTCCTTTCACACACTTGAACCCCGAGGGAAGAGGAGTAGCCACATGACCTTCAATCTTCCCAAAGTTTGCAGCCCAGGCCTCCAAGTACTTCTTTTGATGCACTCGCATCCACCGCTTCTCCACATCTCGCTCAATGTGAAGCCCAAGGTAGTAGTTGACGTCACCAAGGGTCTTGCACTTGAACTTGTCTTGAAGCTTCAGCATCACATCCTTCACAAGGTCAGAGGAGGGTGAGAATATGAGGATATCATCCACATAAACAACCATGAAGCTCCTCTGCTCCCCCTCGCCAAGCATGAACAATGATTGATCGGCCGTTGAGGGGGTGAAGCCGATCGCCTCCAAGACTTCCCGCAGCTTGATGTACCATTGCCTAGGTGCTTGCTTGAGGCCATAGAGTGCTTTCTTAAGCTTCCACACTCTACCACTCCCATCATTGTATCCCTCTGGCTGCTCCATGTAGGTCTCTTCCTCCATAACTCCGTCCAGGAAGGCCGTTACGATGTCCATTTGCTTCACCACCCATCCTTTGATGGCCGCCGCGGCGAAGAGAGTTCGAAGGGTTGTACCCTTTACCACAGGAGCATATTCTTCATTATAGTGCTTCTTCTCCTGCTGCTGGTACCCCTTGGCTACAAGTCTGCTCTTGTAGCGCTCAATGTTGCCGTCGGCGTCGGTCTTGCGCTTGAAGAGCCACTTGGAAGAAATCGCCTTACGCCCCGCAGGTAGGTTCACCAAGTCAAAGGTGTCGTTCTCGATGATGCTCCCCATTTCTTCATCTGAGGCCTTCTTCCACTCCTTCCCATTGGGGCCCTCCCAAGCCTCCTTGGGATTTGTTGGCTCCCCCGGCATCTCCACCGGAGAGAAGAAGGCAAAAGCGCACTCCTCGCTTTCATCTTCCGCATCATCGCCTAGCATGAGAGCCGAACCGGTCAAGGTTGAGTTGGCTGGACCTCTAAGCCGTTCATAGCTCAACCTTTTGGGGGGCTGAGTCTTCCTTCTCCCCCTACCTTCCTCCTCTGCTGCAGGGACTTGGATGCTCTCATGGCGTTGCGATAAATCTGGTCGGTTCGCGCGAGCACTTGTAGCACGAGGCGCAAGTGACGGTGCACGCTCATCACCTTGCTGCACCTCCTCCTCCTCTTCTCCCCCATTCATTTGAGGAGATTGCCTTGTGATAGTGCTGCTGCTACTCAGCTCCAAGGGTAGCTCCACATGCTCCAAGCCGGTACTCTTCACCTCTCCAAGCCGCACACCAATCTTCGCTTGATTCTCCGCCTTCCACTCCTTGTACGGCAAGTTCTCCATGAACTTGCAATCTCTGCTCACCAAGAACTTCTCGGTAAATGGGTCCCAAAGAAGCCATCCCTTGCTGTTTTGAGCCATGCCCAGGTGCACGGCCCATGTTGCCTTGGCATCAAGCTTGTTGTGCCGAAGTTTCTTAGGCACAAGTGCCATGCACATGCACCCGAACACCAGAAGCATATCCACTTTCGGCTTCCTTCCAATCCACTCCACATAAGGCACCCATTTGTCTTCTCCCACGTGAGTCAAGGCTCTGTTCTTGGCCACACAAGCATGCAGCACCGCATCTGGCCAAAAATAGTTGGGTAGACCGGCTTCAATGAGAAGTCCCCGAGCCGTCTCCGTGAGTGTTTGATTCGCACGCTCGGCGATGCCGTTCATTGCAGGAGAGTAGGGCATGGTAAGAGAGTGCCTTATGCCCTGCTTCTTCAGCCAAGTTGAGAAATCCTTGCTCAGGAACTCTCCCCCACGGTCAGTGCGAATCGCCTTCACAAGCCGGTCTTGTTGCCGCTCCACCATCGGCAACCAATCGGTCTTCACCGTTTCAGCTACATCACTCCTCTTGGGCAGCACATACACCCAAGTCATGCGAGTGTAGACATCCACAATGGTGAGGAAGTACTCAGCTCCACCAGCTCCAAGCTTCAAGGGGCCCACCACATCCATCACCACCTCATCAAGTGGTGCCTTCGCCGTTGTCTCCGAGCTATGGAACGGGTAGCGGGTGAACTTGGCTTGCATGCATGTTGGACAGCCAAGCACCTCATTGGGCTCCCCCTTGACATGTATCCCACTGACCATCTCTTGCTTAACTATCTGCTACAAAATGGGCAATGCCACATGCCCCATTCGCCGATGCAAGGTCAGCCAATCACACTCTCCCGTAGCGGAAGTCGGGTTGGAGAAAGCGGCACTCGCAATTGTGCCCCACAAGCTCTCTCCTTTCTCCTCCGCCGCTGCAGCTTTGCTGATCTTAGGCTTCTCCTCCTCATTTCCACCACCTTTGGCTGCTGCACCACTCTCCTTGGGTTCACACGCCTTGCTGGTCTCTCCAAGGTTGCACTCCTTCGAGTCACTCTTGGTGTCACTTTGTTTTCCGTGATCACCGCCACCAACCGCTTCACACTTGGTGCTGACGCTTGCTGCCACTTGCCTCCCCTTAGGCATGGTGACCACTGGGATTTGCCACATCTCATTGTAGATGTCCCTGTCCTCATGAAGGTCCCAAAGCTTCCGCTCACCAAACCTCGCGGTATATGTTTTGGAACCCTTGGAAGATGTGTCCATGCCGGCCTTTTGCAAACGCCGAACAGAGATCAGGTTGGCTGCTAGGTTGGGCACCCAAAGCACGTTCTTGAGGCCCACCATCTTCCCATCAGCACCCTTGAACATGGCCTTGCCCATGCCTTTCACCTCTGCTCGCTGCCCCAAAGCCGATGTAACATGCTTGACCGGCGACGGTACGAGTTCGGTGAGCAAGTCCGCACGAGGTGTCATGCTATAGGTGGCGCCGCTATCGATCACCCAAAAGTCCATAGAGTGAAGGGTGACTTTTCCCACAGTAGCTGGCTCCTCAAAGCCATCCACACCTCCTGCTACAGCTGCCGCTTCCGTGGAGACAAAGAAGAATTGGCCCGGGTATCGATCTTCACTCGAGTCCTTGTCGTAGTCTCCATCTTTCATGCTTGCCGCTTCCCTTCCACGACCACCACGGCCTCCACGACCCCTGCCTCTTCCTCCCCTTGCTTCTCTGCCCTCTTGGCCTCGAGAAGGGGTCCAACCATCAGGCAATTTGAAGCAATCTCTCCACATGTGGCCGGTCTTGTGGCAAAAGTGGCATTCACCATCAAATCGACCGCGCCCACGCCCGTAGCCATTGTTGTTATTGTTGCTGCCATATCCTCCATTGCCATGGCCTCCGTTGAAGTTACTGCTGCCAAATCTGCCTCCTCGCCCTCTGCCCCTTCCACGGCCGTGCCCACGGCCCATGCTTGCAACTCCGGCACCATCGGGACCCGCCAATTCACGACGGCGGAAATCTTCTTGCAAGATTTCCCGCTTCACATCTTCGAGCGAGAGGCGGGGCAGATCTCGATTTAGGTTGATGATGAGTGAGGACCATGAGTCCGGAACTAAGGCCAGCAGCTTGGTCACCGTTGAACTTGTCAAGGCCAAACACTCTAGGCTCATCCCTAGAGGGTCCAAGGCTAAGTTGCACGAGAGCAATGGGTGGATCTTGGTGTTGACCTTGTGCTTGGGCATCTTCTCTGCCTCCAACACCTCTGCCACCATCTTCCTCAGCTCTAGGCATGGTCGAGATGGCTCCAAGGGGCTCTGATACCACTTGTTATACTCACAATAGGCTCAGATGTGCCTAAAATGAGAGAAATTGTGCATAGTCAGAATTCCGTCAGCCAGCTTCAAATATTGATGCCGATCTAATCTGTGTCTTAAACGGTGATCTGTAAATTGGATCTAGAGCGCGTTGCTGTCGGCTATCAGCAGCAAGTTGAATCATAAAAGGTCATGAAGATTTGACGACGCTATGGCGGTTTGACTGGCAGGAGGTACAGGAGCCGCTAAAGTCTTAGGAGTACAAACTTAGCAAGAAGAGTTCGAGATGGAGATGGTTCCCAGCCTCTACATACCCCAAGAGCGGAGGTCCAGGTTGGTGGTACACCACCACAGAGTCCCCAACCATGAAGAGTCTCGAAACCAACCCTCCAAGGAGCTACACCAAGTGAAATGTAACACTACACGAAGTAGCGTTACTATTTTCACTATTTAATATTTATCCGCGTCCCTTGGGCTTGGAATCTTGAGCTCTTTGTCTTGGTTCTACAAGATCAATTCTTCTTGAGTTGATGTGGGCTTGCTGCACACACCTGCGACGCGATGGACACTTCACACTCGACAAAATAGAAAAAACACATGCGACACACAAATGACGACTTGACATGCGAGTTGTAAAAACTCGCTAATGTCTTGACCGACACAAACCACATTGTGATACACCATTCAAACACACACACAAGCACTGGATAGCAATGACATCGACTCACAATTCATTCCATGCCATGCATGCACACACACAAACAAGGACGACAAGCCGAGTGCAAGCCATAGGGTTGCACCAGCAGAAATGATGGAGTGCTGGTTGTTGTTGGCCGATTGACGAAAATGGCGCATTTCGCACCATGCCGCATGACAATAACAGCTGAAGAAACAGCGTGACTATTCATCTCGACCATTGTAAAACTACACAGGATAACAATAGCAATCATTAGCAATGGAGACTGAAGTTCATGTCGAATTTTTGGCAAGATACGTATGCTCGATATGGCATGCGCCTGCAATTCTCATCCGTATCATCCGCAAATGGACGGCCATACAGAGAGGACAAATCAAACGATGGAGCAGCTGATACAAACAAACTGCCTCGACCGAAACAAATGGGAGGACGGGCTGTCCACATTGGAATTCTCCTACAACAATGCGCCCGCAACTACGAGTAATCACTTTCCGTTTTACCTCAATTATGGGATGCATCGACATTGCCTATCTCCACTAACGTTGAAAGTCAAATATCACGATTGCAGCAATTCGTAGAAGAATTACAGACTGCCTGGGACAAAGCTGTTTATTGATTCGCAAGTCTAATACCAATGCTCGACGGTATGCGGATCTACATCGACGGGATATTGCCATTGCAGCAGGGCAATTAGTCCTTTTGGACACCAAGAATTTACGACAGCTGCTACTGACAGAAGATGGTGACGCCGGTGACTGCCCAGTTATGCCTACCTGAAGATTGGCGTATTCACAACACGTTCCACGTGCCTGTTACGACCCTTCGTACCTGACACGTCGGACATCGCTTGACAGTGATTGGTCCTGGATGTACGGCCACCAGCTGAGACGACCATCGAGCCAACAAAGATTTTGAGCCGTCGTATTCATATCGACGGCCCAGGACTACACGTTAACTTTCTGATAGGACGGACCAATTGTACCAGCGAGGACAACACGCGAGTGCCCTCGGACCAGGTACAGCCATCTTCGATACTTGTGAATTATTTTGTGCGCAAACACGTGTTTTACTGTAGGTTATATTTGTTATAGCCTAGCTAGGTCAGTTCTTAGAGGGTAAAACACCCACTGTTGTAGTCTCTCGACGTTTTCCCTTAGCCATTTTTTTTGCGCTACTCTAACATGGTATAGACCTAGTTCAGGTTCCCCCCTAGCACCGCACCTCTGCCCGTAGAGTACCGTTTTTTGTGGGTGTGTGTGTGTGTGTTTTTTTTTTTTTTGGTGCAACTCACGCTCTCCAAATTTCGTGCTCCGCAGGTCCACCCTCCCCCCCCCCCTCCCTCCCCTCCCCCCCTAGCGTCCATTTTGTTTCGTAAGCTAGCCAGCCAGCCAGTGCGCCAGCCAGCTGGCTAGCTCGCTAATCAGCTGGCACGCCAGCCAGCCAGCCAGCTCGCCAGCGCTAGCTGTGCCAGCCTGCCCGGCCACCCTTCTGCTGTTTCGTGCCTGCTGGCCGCCACCAGCCCCTGCTCGCCCCTCGTGTGCCTCGCCAGCACTTGCCTGCCCGCAGTCGCCAACCAGCTCGCCGCCAGCTCGCCATAGTTGCCGCCAGCCAGCTAGCCGCTGGCTTGCCACCGCCGCCTAGCAGCCGCCCGCTCGCTGCGAGCCAGCCAGCCCACAACCGCGCTGCCGCTGCAACCAGCCAGCTCGCTGCTGGCTTGCCAGCCAGTAGCCGCCAGCCCGCCGCTAGCTGCTGTTACCAGCCAGCATGCCGCTGGCTCGCTAGCCAGCAGCCGCCAGCCAGCTTGCCGCTGGCTCGCCACCTAGCAGCTGGCTCACCACCTAGCAGCCGCCAGCAGCCGCCAGCAGCCGCCAGCCAGCAACTGCCAGCCAACCGCTAGCCACAGCCACCAACCAGCCGCTAGCCGCAGCCACCAGCCAGCTCGCTGCTGGCGCAATGCCGCCACCGCCCTGCCGCCCACAGCTGCTGCTGCCGCCAGCTGCCGCCACCTCCAACCACTACAGCCGCTGCTGCCAACCACCTGCCTGCTGCCACCCGCTGCAGCCCACCGCCGCTGCCGCTACAGCAGCCGGCAACCAGTGCCAGCTGCAAGCTTCAAGCCGCGTACTGCAAGCAGCCATCGCTAACCGCCCGTTGCCGCTACCGCCTACTGCCTACTGCCACCCACTGCCGCTGCAGCTCCTCCTGCTGCTTGCTACCGCCCGCTGTCGCTGCCTCTGTAGCCACCCTACCGCCGCCGCTATTGCCCCTACTAGCGGCTTCTCTCTGCCGCCACTAGCGAGCCTCCCGCTGTCGCCCTTAGCTGCCACCATCTGCGGCTTTCTACTCTTGTCTCCAGCAGCTCACCGCTGCAGTAGCTCGACGCTACAGTAGCTGTTGCCATCCCTGCTGCAGTCTTCGTCACCGCCAGCTGCCGCTATGGCGACCCCGCCTGCCGCTGTCATCCGCCTGGACGCCGAGGTTCGCGCGATTGGATTCTCGGCCTGGCTGGTTGCTCTTCCTCGCCAGCTCACGTCCATCCGCAGGACAGCGAGGCCCTTGTGGCCCACACCTTGGGTACGTTAGCTACTCCCCCAGAGCCCGCTTCTCTTGCTGCTGACGCGACGTCCGCGCAATGGATTGAGTTCGAGATTGCCCTAGCCACCCTCTCTGTCTGGCAGTCCCGTGACGCAGCCGTGCAGCTTGTAGTCACCAAGGCCCTCCCCCCTACCGAGCACTCTCACTTTGAGACGCTCGAGACAGCTAAGGGTATCTGGGATGCAGTTGTCGCTTGCTACTCTACCCTATCCTCAGCCACCTTAGGTCGTGTGGTCCTGCCGTTTCTCTTCCCCGACCTAGCCTCCTCCACTGTAGCAGACCTGGTAGCGCACTTGCAATCCCTGGAGGCTCGCTGGCGTGCAGCTTGCCCTAAGGAGCACCACACCACCCACTTCCCGCCTACAGTACCTAGTATATCAACCTGTTCCTCCTTGCCACGCGCCTCCCAGACTGTCTCGCCCATATGCGAGACGCGCTCCTCGCTCTGCCCCTCATCTCCCTCACCATCGCTGACTCAACCTCCGCCCTGACGAATGTTGAGTCGGGCCTCCGTGCCATCGCTGATGTGAGTGCAGGATAGATTTCCTATGAGAAATGAATTTTATTTTTATTTTTCTTCTATGACACTTTTGATTACCTAGGATACTCATTTCAATCACTCGGATTATTTTATCCAAAGTGGCAATTGGGATTATTCTTGGTTATCATGAGTGTATGTGTTACCTAGATTAACTGTTGCATGCACCGAGGGTTCACCGAATTTCAACGAATCCTCTAGTGCTTCTAAAACAGTTGCTTCTTGAGGGAAATTGTTCCTTTCTACGCATAGCGCATTCGATCCTGTAACACTTGGTAATCAGAGCCTAAACCACTTTTAGTGACTGGGGCTTCGAAAACCGCACGGGCGATCCAGTTCAAGTCGAGGCCGACAAGTAAGTACGGAATCCGTTTTTTGCAACTGATCCCTCATGTATTTTTTTAATGCCGACCCCGTCACAGGAAGCAGAACAAAACGCGCTCTTAGACGAAATCGCACAGTTACATGGCGAACTCCCTCAAGTGCGCCAAGCAGCAGCGACGGCATCGCATCAGTTGACAACGAGCCAACCCGAGGCTCCTCATTTTCATGCACGTGAACCGTTCGACCCCAGCGATAGATCGTGTGGCGTTCGTCGATAGATCGGAGACATCAAAATTATTTCGCGGTGATCGGATGGTTAATGATGACCCACGACAACAAAATGGTTCAGTTCGCAGCGACGCTCATGCGTGGTCCGGCTTTCGAATGGATCTTCAACAACAGTCAACTTCTACAGCGCGAAATCGCATGGAAGCAGTTTCATGACGAACTCCTTACCCGTTTCAAGCCCGTAAATTCGACCTACATTGCACGGGGAAACATTCATGGACACCGACAATTTCAAGTGTGGCGCAGTACACGCAGCATATGGAGCAGTATTATGCGCGAATATACGACATTACGTACGGCAAAAAAAATCATTGGTACCTGGCGGGGCTGAAACCATAAATTCAAAGACAAGTTGCAGCGGTTAATTACCTCACCTACTGTGACGTGGCCTCGGCAGCCGAAATTTAAAGCCCATGTCCCAACTTACAAGGCGCGAAGTCCCCCTTTGGAGAGCGCGGCTCGTAAAAGGGGAGCCACGGTTTGATTGGCTGCAAGGGATGCGAAGAACCTGGCTTTGAAAATTTGGAGGTGAATGCCGCCAACTACCCCAGAGCATTCGCTAACGTAGAACAATGAAAGGTGCAAAATCGTGAGACACAAAAGCTCCGCCACCCACGCAGCAGTACAGAAAACCAATCAGGAAACGAAAAACGCGAAGCAAGAGCCGAAAGAGAAAAACAC